CCGGGGAGGCAGGGCATCCTCATCACGTGCAACATGAACGAGCGCAAGTGCGTGGCGGAGGCCTACAGCCTGCTGGGCGAGTACGGCGAGCAGCTCTACGGGCCCGAGAAGGTACGTGCCCCGGGCAGTACGGCCCGGCTCCTCCTCTCCCCGCGCTTGAAGCCGGAGCCCGCCCGGCCCCCCCTCCTCGCGTTTCGTGCCGCCCCTTCAGAGGCCCTAGGGGCCCCGGGCCGAGAATCGGCGCCTCAGGGCTTGAGCGCGGTGCTGGGGGGCGGGGGTGGGGAGGTTGCACCTTCTGGACTGACCACACCAGATGCATGGTAGGTCCATCAGAGCTGCCACCTACTGAGTCCCCCCATAGCTGCACCTTGCCTCCGCCGCATTGGGATGAGCCCTGCCCGGCTCCCCGGCCCTGAGCGGGGCGTGGGAAGCATTTTAGAGGTTCACTTTCTCCAGTGTTAACTGCTGCCATAGAGGTCCTAGTAGCAGCCTAAATTTAGCTTTTAGGACCTGTGTGCTACCCTTAGCCATATCCTTGGTACCCACTGGACTGCGACCACTGGCTCCTCCCCAGCAACTTAAAAACACATCCCGTGAGGACTGCTACTTCTGTGCCTAGGTGCAGGGTCTCTCAGATGTCACAGACCCAGCTGTCTGTGTGCCTAATAATTGAATCGCGCGCTACAGTCAGTTGCCTGCTCCTATCCTGTGGGGCTCCCTCCCTTGGAGCAAGAGGATGCGGTAACATTGGCTGGAAGGTGGGTCCCATCAAAGGGATAGTTTCTAGAGGTGCACCAATACCTCTGTCTGCGTCAGATTGAAAAATTGACATTATCGGCAGTCAGCTTTTTTTTTTTTTTTGGCTGATGTGGCTGATAATGTCACCAATAAGTGCGTGTGTGGGCACAGCTGTAGCATGCCTGGGGCCAGGAGTGCAGCCTGGCAGCTTGGGAAGTAGTGTGTGGCAGGTAAGTCTGTTGGGAGGGGCAGAGTGGGGTATGGGAGCTGCAAGCAGCTCATGGAGGGGCAGGGGGCAGCTCATGCTGTGTGCACCCCTGGGGAGGCATGGAGGGCACGTGCTCCCTGGATTTGTGTGCGGGGCAGAGGTGGGTGGGCTGCCGCTGCGAGCCAGGGGCAGTTCCAGGCTCTTCCTGGTGGAGGGGCCTGGGCTGGAGCTTTGCTTGGGGCAATTGGTAGCAGCACTGGGGCACCCAAAAATATAGCCACCCAAAAATTTGCTGTAGATTCCTCAAAGCTCCCCTCCCAGTGCCGCTGCTGCCCGAGGGCCCTGGCACAGCCCCAGTCCAGCGCTTCCTTGGGGAAGAGCCTGGCACCGCCTCCGGCCGCAGCCTGCCCTCGCCCTGCGTGCAGATTCTAGGAGCACGTGCCCCCCATGACTTCCATGCTCCCCAGATGAGCCACTTGCGGCTCCGTCCCATAGTCCGACCCTCCCTGGCTGGGAAGCGCTTGCCCCACTCCCTCCCTTGCTGTGGAGTCCTCAATCTGCTGACCACCCTCCCTTCCCCCCCACAATTTACAGTCAGACGCTGCTATCCAAGCTGCCAGGCTGCATATTGGCAGTCGGATTAGTATTGGCTAATATGGCTTGTTAATAATGGGCCATCAGTATCAGCCCAAAAAATCTTTATTGGTGCATCCTTAATAATTTCTCTCCTTCCCAGCTTGATGCCCTCCATCCAAGGCTCTCATCCTCCTCAGCCGTGTGGGGCTGCTCTACAGTGTCCCTAAAAGCCTCATCTATGAACCTCTGTACCTCCTATAGCTGCACCACTTCTGCCCCCCCAAACCCTGAGAGAACATACTTGCTCTCTGAGCCAGGCATTCCTTGAAGCAGGTCAATGCATACAAAACCTGCCCCTAGGGCAGGTAATAACCATACATGCTGCACTCAGTGCAGTTAACTGGGTAGTCCCCACCCTGCTGCTTGTGCTTCTATCTGTAGATTTTTTTTAAAGTGTTAAAACCTCAGTTTCCTCTTAAGATGGTTTTGATTTATTGGTTCCCTTTCACTAGAAACTTTCAACTTATGGATTGACTTCCTGTTTAGCCTTACCCTAATTACATCCACTAATTAAAGAAAGATTTAAATATTGATCTAACTGCTGTGTTTCAGCTACTTCCATTATATATCTAGGTTAATTACTCTTAATTTAAGAAAGAACTTACCTTAAAGGCTCCTCCTTCAAAGATGGGGGCTGCAAACTGCCCTGTTTGCTTTACCTGTCCTGGGCTCTGGTTTCCTTTTATGCTCTGGCAGGCCTGGACTGGCTCCACCCCATTGTTATGGCTTTTGTCAGACCCGGGCAGCAATCACTCAGTAGCAGCACTCACAAACTGCTCAGGGCCTAAAAAAACCAGCCAAATGTTTACCAAACCTCACACATAGACAGACCAAGCTCATTTACCTTCCAGAAGCAGGATCTGGTGTCTGACTCGTCATCCCTTCTTCCTCCTGCTCCCAACAGACTATATATAGTACTTGCTTCGCCTGATGTAGTGAGCCTCAACTGTCTTATCTACTTTGGTTAGTCTGTAAGGTACAAATCTACCCTGCCTTCTGCTTGACTGTGGACTAACATAGCTACCTGCATCTCTAGCTATAGATAATTCAGGCATCTTTCCAGCCTAAAAGATCTATTTTAAGCAACCAGGGCATGGTGGGGCATGCCAGAAAAAGTTTGCTAATATTGTAGGGTGAGATCATTGAATAGACTATCTAAATGACTGCTTGCATGCTAAACTACCCCTGGAAAAGCCCTCTCTACTGTTTTTTTTTACAGTATTTTTAAACAATTGTTGCCTTCAGTTGGGTTCAGTAATTCTTCATAATGGGCTCCCTGCTCTCTTGGCCATTCTGGGGTTTGAAAGTTCTGCCCTCCTTCCATTTTGTACATTAACACTGGTGAAAGTCTCTCCTCTTAATCATACCTGTGTGCATTGAATATTTGATAATTCATTGCTCCTTTGTTTAAATAAAATGCAACATGTGCCACTTGGACCAACTTGTGTCATTGCATACATGCTAATTTCCACATAAAAAATGTCATGTGTTTGCCTTGATGTCTATAGTGCTTTCTTCTCAAATGATGCCGTGGACTGCTTATTTCAACTACCATCCTGTGCATCACTGCTCAGCTTGCTTTTTCAGCAATAGATGTGATTTCTTAACAATTTAATGGCACCGAATTTAAGATGCTTTCTCTTATTCAAACAGTTCTCAGATCAAGATGACAAGCTGTCAGGAAGTGAAGAGGAAGAGGATGATGTTGAAGCTGCCTTAAAGAAAGAAATCGATCAGATTCGTACTTCAACAGAACAGAAGCTGAGACGATTCCAGTCAGTAGAGAGTGGAGCTAACAACGTGGTCTTTATTAGGACCCTGGGCATAGGTTTGTAGTGAAATAAGTACCATATAACTCTATAGGCACTCTAGACTTCCTTAGCAATAAGATATGGGAGTGACTTCTCAAAGAAGAGGAGTATGCAGAATGTATATACTTCTTTCCTCTCTCTTGCGTGCTTCCTTCTAGACCCTCTAGTGCAAAATAACCTGAGCCCTCTTCATACAAAAAGACAATTGCATCTTGCTTAACTTAAGGACATTGGAAAGAGTTATGTACAGGCAGATATAAAACCAAAGGTATAACCCTTTTTCCAGGTCTCCCAGCCTGATTGTTAAATGTGAACTAGAAAAAATACCTGTACATTAACAGTTCCACCCACAAGAACAAAGATCTGATATTTTGGTCCTTAATTGGGCAAAACTCCTCTTCTCTGAATAAAGGCCTGTAGAAACAGGCTCCCAGTGCTGCGTTTAGTGGGGATGCTGGGTACTCGTATATAACTATGGAAAAAGCTCATTCCCTTTTGGAAAGCTCTTCAGAGTTTACTAGATGTCTGTAGGATGGAGTTTATTTTTATATATCTTTGTACTTAGCAAGATTTAATGCTGTATTTCTCTTTCCTAAAGGAAATACCTATTTGCTTCTCATACTTGCTTGTCTTTCCTTGTAGAGCCTGAGAAGCTGGTGCATCATATATTAAAAGACATGCACACTACTAAAAAGAAGAAAACAAGAGTTATTCTGCGCATGCTGCCCATTTCTGGAACCTGCAAGGCTTTTTTGGAGGATATGAAAAAATACACGGAGACCTTTTTTGAGCCTTGGTTTAAAGCCCCTAATAAAGGGACTTTTCAGATTGTGTACAAAGCTCGTAATAATAGTCATATGAGTAGGGAAGAAGTAATCAAAGAACTGGCAGGTAGGTATTTCTTTCACATAACAGGCTTATAAGCACATGTGCAAGCTACACAGGCCAAATCATTCCAGCAGGACAACTAGGCATAAGGGTTTTGTTTTAAAGGAAGGAAGGCCTTTTTCAAGCCCATTGCATTATTCAAAGTCTTTCCTTCCAGTTTTTTCTTAAGTGTTATGAACATAACTTGATGCTAAGGGTGTGGACACAGGAATGTTTGTACGACTTTAAAAGAGTTGCTGCATTTGAATCATTCTCAGCCTGTTCACACACAACAGTTAGAGCTATCAGCTGCTTCCTTTTTTAAATGTGCCCCTTTGAAAGGGTCTCCAAGCTGTCTTGTGTCCACACCCTTACACTCCTTCAGCAGTTCATCTCCGTATCAGACCACCTCATCGTAACATAACAAAAACAACACAGTCCAATAAGGTAGTGAATGTACCATTTCTGTAAACTTTGCAGGTTTTTTGAAAATTCTTTTTTTGAATACTGAAGATCTTGTATCATTGTTGGGGATCTCAGGAATTCATGCCAGAAATATGTGGTGCAGCAGCTTCTTTAATCTTGGGGTTTCCTCTGCTTGCCTGCCCGTTTTCCCCCCTGCCACTGATTGGTGGAGGGGTCCTGTTGCTCACCATCCGCACCTGATGGTAAGGAGATGAAAACCGTAGTTGTGGTTTCAGACAGGGTCCCTCTGCTAGTCAGTGGCGGTGGTGTGCATGGGGGAAAACTCCAGTATTAAAGAAGTGGCTGCACTATGCACATCTAGCATGAATTCCAGAGATCCCTAATCCCTGTTTCCTCTGATTGTGACTTAAGGGGAGAACTATCAAATGAATTCAGAGCTATAGTGTTGCAGTATAATAGTTTCTTCCTTACTAGGGAGGGTATAATCAAAGAGCCCTAATATTTTTCTGGTATTTTAAGCAGTCATGTTGACTGGAAATTCTTGACTGCAGCTGCCCAAAGTATGAATAAGGTCATCTTTTTACTTATCCTTTGTGGTGTAGTTGGTCTTCTGAAATGTTAGCACTCAAATACTTGCATTTCAAATCTCTTTGCAGAAACACCCTCTGCATAACTGATTCTTGTTCTATCGTTACAAAGCAGGGTTTTCATTAAGTGGGTAATTATTAGAGAGGAGATGTACTGCTTCCCTATTTGATTTTATCAGGCAGAATTAAAATTGCCCTAAAAGTCCTTGCATACATTGGGGCTTCTAACAGTAGAAAAAAAACCAACATTCCCTTTTTCTCCTATCTTGCAGGAATAGTGGGCAGCCTAAATCCAGAAAACAAAGTGGATCTTAATAACCCAGAGTATACCATTGTGGTAGAAATAATAAAAACCGTCTGTTGCTTGAGTGTGGTGAAAGACTATGTTCTGTTCAGAAAATACAACCTGCAAGAGGTGGTGAAGACCAACAAGGAGGAGGGGCAGCAAAACCTGTCAAGTGTCACAGAAGAGGAGAGCTCAAAAGAAATAAAATCAGCTGAGGACTCAAATGAATTGAAATCAGGAGACAGACTTCAAAGTGAAGAAGAGAGTAAGCACAATGAGCATGACCTTCAGCAGGTGTAGGAAATGTCACAGGAAGGAAGGACACCTGTAAGAGACTGGCTTTGAGTTCTAAAATGGCCTTTTAAAGAGAAGCTATGGGATTTTTTTTATTTTATTTGGAGTTTAGTTTTTAAAGTCAATGGGTAGTATGAGTTGATTTTTCATACACTATTGTGTAGTCACTGGTGGACCTTTGTGTTTCAACATGTCCAGTATCCAGGAGCGTGGTACTATTTTTTACTCAGTCTCTCGGCCTGGTTTGCCTCTGCTTTGCACCTTGTATGATTGCACACCTATGCAAAGTGTATGTAAAACATTCCTAATCTGATCTGATAACACTTACTGCCAACTTCCCATAGGTAAAAGTATGTAGGATACAAGGCAATATAGAATTGACCTTGCTAAGAAGCACTGGGTATGGGTGGGATTGAGAGTTTTGGAAAAAAGATGGCTTTTTATAAAGAATATAAATGAAAATGTAATGACTTAGTTTTGGCACCTCTGGACTTTGCATAGCATGTAAGCCCTCATTGTCTTGTAAAATAGAGAATGGGACTAAGCACACCCATTTTGCATGTTGGATAAGGAATGAAAACAGGCAGATGAGAACTTAGTATGTCAAAGTAGTTCAGTGTTGTGACCAAACCTAGAAAAAATGCTTAAACTTCCTAGGATAAACATGCCTAATAGGGCTGTTGCATATAATTTTTACTAAAAATCCCATGGTATGTCTCAAACAGTAATGTACACATTGGAGTTCCTGGATAAAACCACATATTGTACATATCTATTGAATCAGGACCCAGCAAGTAACTTAAAAAGAGCCCACTTCTGCTTTATTCAAGGTATGCAATTCCTGTTGTTTTTCTTTAATAGTCTCAGTTTGTTGGTTTTATTTTTTATTAGCTGTGCTACAGGTTTGAGTTTGAACCCCGTCAGAAACTGTAGGTTGTAAAATAAGCTCTTTGTGGTGTACACCATATAACAGAAAGGATCAGTTTACCTATTTGTATAGTTTTGGCTTTACAGAATTAATTTTGTTTCAGATTGAAACTAACATCTGTCCGTGGGTTTTACCTCTTCCTATAGGCTTGGCAGTTTGTTACACTAGGTTTGCAGAAATCCAGACTGATTTAGGTAAACCAATATAGTGCAGCTTTAGCTTCTCATAATGTATCAACAGCCTAAACAGCCTCTGGGTCACTAACAGAAAATGGCTTGTCCCAAGATAGCACTGCTTGGTCTTCATTCAGTGGAAAGGACATGGTGAAGTCTCAAAATGGGTTTTGTTTTGTATTTCCCTGTGTTCTTAAAACAGTTACAGATGTTTGGAAATTAAAAAAAGAGACTCCTTCCCTGTTCCTGTCTTTTTATTCCTCCCCTCATTTACTAAAACCCTGTTTTATTGCCTTTCTCGGTATCTTTCTTTTGAAACTTGACTACATTATAGCTGGTGGTTTAGCCCATGTTCTGATTTATAGTTCTCAAAATGGTGGTCAAAGTCATCCCTTTCCAGAGGAAAGTTATAAAAAAGGACTGGAAACAAGTACCACTTACGATGTTTATTGGTAGCATAGAGATTGGTAAGAAAACCAGGTCTGAAACTGCCTAATTGGGGTGTTCACATCTAGTTATATTTATACCAATGATCTATGTGGGGGGGGGAAGAACAATGAAATATTCATATACAGACCCAGCTTGTGTCTTAAAGTTACAGCCACCTACACTCTTTTCTTAAAGATTATTGTATTCTTTCAGTTTTCAAAAGTGCCATGACTACTCAAAATGAGCACTTCCTAAGATGCCTACTTCTGTTAATGATGGTTAGTTACACTTGCATATCCATGCCCAAATCAGGGTCTGTCTGGCAAAATTTGAAAATGGGCAGATCTGTTTGAGCTTTATTACTTAAAAAGATGCATTGAATGTGACAAACTAGTGAACTAAAGTATTGGACCTCAGAAGACTAAAAGGCTGTCCCTACTGTGGTGGAAATGGGCAATAGTCTTACTGCCTCTTCCGGAAAAGGACAAATTCTGTTTTTGCTGCAGTAGTTACGTTCCCAGTGGGCACTTCACCAAACATGTTTGGGTTGTGTAGAGGTGAGGTGGCCTTTTCCCCACCATGCTGAGTGCTAAGCACGCGCTTCCAGTGTGCAATTTAAGGGGCATTCTGTTTTTTTTCCCTTTGTGTTCATCATCAATAGCAAAAGTTCTGCAGGTTAAATTAGGTCCTTGGTGAGAGCTATGGAAGCCTCCTGACGCAAGTTGATTTGCACAGCTGTAATTGATTGGAAAATCTAAAACAATTTGTGTTTGCACAGGAAGGAAGAGAATGTCCTGGTTAGGTTGAGGCATAGAAAGCAATAGCTATTTCCTTTTATTAGCTAAAATGATTCTGAAAGCCATAAGGTGGGTCATTTTTACATATTGAGGTCATTTTTACATATTGATTTCCTGAATAGGCCTAGCTTGTAAAGCAAGAACACAAGGATTTAAAGACTTTTGTTTTTTTTTTAACTTTCTAAGACTGCTCACAGCTGTGTGCAGTATATCAACTATTCACGGTCTGACAGATACATTTTAAATACTATCATGATGTGTATAGTATCCATAGCAAATAACAGTAAGAAGCTTATCTATGGGAATAAAATTAATCTATTTCCAAGATGCCCAACGGTGTTATATCCGGCCCCACTCTTTGTTCCTTAGTTCGTTCCTTCTTATTTTCCCAGTGATTGTCTTTGGCAACTGATTGACAAATTCCATCTAATTGAAAATATGGAAAAGGAAAAATTATCAGATTTTTAATATGCTTGTTATACTTTTAATTTGGAACAGCAATTACTTTCACACCTGTGTCTGTTAAGCTCTTTAAATGTTTTGATTATTTCACATGCATGTAATTTCCCCAAGCATCAAGTATATTTAAAAATATTATGGGCAATACGAAACATGTTTGTCATATTTTGTATATTTTACACCACTTATTTGGGGCTTTTTGTCACTTAAAAATGCAGGGGAAGCTATTGATTTAAATCTACTCTGGTAGACTCTATCCCGCCCTGGTCAGAATAAGGCTTTTCAGTTCATCCTTTGCTACTTGCCTTTCTGGGATACTTGTATGGAGCAGTAGCTTTCTTGACATGATCTTGCAGCTCCTGAATCAATTTCTCTGGATTACATAATATAAAGGAAGGAGACAAGACCACAAAAGCTTTAACCACCTAGAAGACAAAATCCATTGACATCGCAACATTTAATTTAGCATAAAAACAAACCAGAAAATACAGTTAATACGAATCATAAATGCAAAACTTTCAGTTAGTCCCCAGGTTTGGGCAACAGACGGGAGAAAAGAGCTATCCAGTCTCTTGTGTGTGTGTGTTATTACTTAGCATGTATTATTGCATTTTTTTTAATGTGAATGTCTGCAGTTTTTAAAATAATCTTGTGCAGTGTGCTTCTAAGCAGGTAGTCTGGGCCCTATTTATGGGATAGTTTTTAGGGCCAGCTCCTGACCTCCAGGTGGACTTGCATAATCCTGTAAATTCAATGGAGTTGTTCTGGATTACCTTGCATCAGAGTTTGTCCGTACATCAATATTCCTATCCAGAAATGTTTTGGGTACTATTGAGATATGTGCGACCAAACTGCTGCTGTTTATCATCCTTGCGTTGATTGTTAGTAGTGAATGAATAATAGGGTGATCAGAGTAAGCTATTCTGCCCATCTCCAGTACAGAGGAGAAGCTTTTTGCTGTAGCTTTTTTGTTAGTACAGTTAGGCACCATCCCATGCTCAGCTGAACCTAACGACTGATGTAAACCGTAGTTTGGATAGCCATGTAGATGAAACTCCTCCTGAAGTCCAGTGGAATTTGGCTAAATAAGCAAGGCCTCCCCTTAGTATTTTCTGGGGTAAATGTAATATACAATAGTTGTTTAATGCAATATTACCTCTCCTCTGATGGGATCCGGGCTGCTGACAACAGCTGATTCTACCACGGCTGGGTGCTCTATCAGTGCGCTTTCTATCTCAAATGGTCCGATGCGGTAGCTAGGAAAGCAAAGAGAGGTGGTTACTGGATGACATACGTGGGCTTTATCTTGTTTTTGAACTACATACATTTGTATAAATTCAACTTAAAGGTACAAACCCAGCAGAAATGATGACATCATCAGCTCTTCCCACAAACCACAAGTATCCATCTTCATCCATAGTCCCTCTGTCCCCAGTGATGTAAAAATCTCCTCGCACTGTTGTAGCAGTTTTTCCTGGCTCATCCTGTGAATTGTAGCATGGAAATGCCGTACAGAAGTAGCAGAGCAAGGGAGAGAACCTAACTTCTAGTTCTATGCCCAGGGCATTTCTACAACCCTGTATTTTACACTGCTTCCCCCCTGCAAGGGGTGCATCTAAATAGGCAATTTAGGGGTGGATTGGCCAATTACCAGTCACCGGGAGAGACCCATTTCTTGTATTATGGTATTTAAAGTACATGCTCAGAGTTGCCAAAGAGGACAGCAGATTACAGAAAAATGGATTAGATTGCGATTGTGCTGACTGCATTTTCCTTGGCACTATAGACATTGAACACCTTCAGCTCAGGACAAGGATTTCCATTCTTACTGATAAGCGTGGCACCAAACCCGAGAGCACAACAATCCACAAACTTGGCAGAAGTTTGTAGCACAGACCCTTGACAACTAACATCACAAACCTTTTGCTGCAGGTGGTGGTAGGTGTTTGTATTGCTCGTTACGTTGGATAGGCGTCTAGATTTTGACTAGCCCTTACATGCTTGAGTTGCCTCCTGGCATTGTTTGGTTTGGGCTAACTGTTTCCTGGTGCTATGGGAAATGAAGATCTGGGCTAACAAACTATTTTCTGTAAACAACAGGGAAGGGCAAGGTCTGGCTGAAGCTGTTCTGTGCACCAGTGACCCGTACCCTGTTTTAAATCCAGGGTATGTCTGCACTGCAATCAGATGTGATGTCCTTGGACTAGGTATGAACAGTGATGAAGATGCAGCAGCACAAGCTTCAGGGCTGAGACCCTGGATAAGTGCTTGGTGATAAGCCTGCACCGAAGCCTGAGCTTCCCTTTTCAGTCCTACGTTGCTGTGGTACCTGCCCCTGGCACCTGAGACGACTAGATTAAAGCCAGCTTGGGTAGTGCATCTCTGTGTGTAGAAACACCTTTTGTGAGCTGAATTGCTGACAGTTCCACCCCAGAATGAAAAGGGAGCAGGGAAGCGCTCCTGGAGCACCTTCTTGGTGCTTCTCGTGGTCTGTTCTACCCAGGGCAAGGCCTTGAGGCTGATTCCAGCCTTTGGAAAATTTCCGTTAGCTGCTTACTATGTATTGAGAGAAAAAACAAAATGGCTGTTTTGAATCTATTTTGATGGCGATGTCTCCTTCTTCACCAGGAGGCAGAATATTGCAGCTTTCATCGATGATCTACCACAAGAGACGAAACATTTTGTTTGATTGACCATCATGTTTCCTTTTCTTAAAATAAAGACTCGATTACAACAACCACCGCCTCCAACCCACAATCCTGACTACCATCCCTCTATATCCAGATTTGCGTTATGATGCCTTCCTTTATCTTACCTCTGACTAGGCTAGTGCTTTCCAAACTTCCTAAAGTCATGGTACATTTTCATGTCAGTTCTGCTGTAGAGCCCCTATCCCAGGCTAGAGACTGACATGGAGCCAGGCAACCTGGCCTGGCAATGAGACTGCATTGCCTCCTGGCCTGCTCCACCCTTACCCCAGTCTCTTTGCAGACCCCTTGATGACCTAGCACCGAGGATTTTGCAGAACATAGTTTGAAAACCACTGGTCTAGAGCAACTTCAGTCTATCAGAAAAGGTGACCAACATACCTGGACATCATATGGGGCTGTTGGCCTTCCCATGGAACCTGGTTTAACTTTCATTCCTTTGAGATTTGCAGATATTATTCCCTATTACAAACAAGCAAACAAACAACCCAGCTAGCTTCTCTGAAGCCTTTGTTCAATCCCTCCCCACATTTGTGTGCACCACTGTAATGCCAAAAGACTCAATCTTGTGTATTATGCTATCCCAGACTCCTGATTTCACTGGGAGGTTTGGCTCAACAAGGAAGGAAGGGCAATTTGTAACTGAAATCCTATGAGCTTATATAGGGTCCATGAAAAGCTGCACTTTAATTTTAAGGGCAAAAAATGCAGCCTTATGAGGTCACTGACTATTTGTTCTGGATGGTGCCTTTTTACATCTTCATGGTTACTGCAAAAACCAGGGAGAACAATTTGGAGTTAACATCTCTTCACAGATTTAAGGTAACATTCAAGTTTGTAACATATATGAACTAAGCTTAACCTACTACTTCTGTCTGTCCATAGCCTTCATAGATATCCAGTCCTGTCTGGCTCTTCCACTGAGCAAACACTTCAGGGTTGAGTGGCTCCCCTCCAGTCAAACAGTGCCTCAGGCTCTTGAACTTGTAACTTAATAGACAAAGAAAATTACCAAGAATTATCGCAGGTTAAAAAGACTCTGCCCTTCATTGCTGTCGGTAACTCCCTCAACTTCAATGTATGCTGGACTCAAATCTGCTCTCCAGTAATACGTATGCACCTCTCAGTGAAGTCAGTGGGCATTATATACCTCAGGCCCATAGACTTGACTGGGGATACATCAGAATTTAGTTTTTAGGTTCTTTTAGTATATCCCTACCAAGGAAAGTATTTATAAATGAAAGAATGAAGGTACTTCTTGGAGATAACTCCGAATGGCCAGTGTGTGTGAAGAGACGAATGCACAGGTTTTTATACTGTTCCATTAATTAGGAGGGACAGGACTCCAAGCATGCACCTAAGAGGCTAGAGGTTTTTCCGATCTCTGCCAGTCATCCAGTTCTGCAAAACATGCAAGATTTGGCTTTCTCCCAAGAATGCGGGGGCCTCTTTCTCAATTATCTCAAGAGCCCTTTGCATTGCCAGCATAAGTGCAATTGACCATTAATAAAAATGAACTCGGGTCTTTAGTACTTCCAGCTTGTGCTTATGCTGATATACCACAAAATTGCCATCTGTGCTGTGTCTCAACACTTTCCAGGCTGGAATCCAGATGGGCAGGCATATGCGACAACGAAACTAACTGGAAAAAAAAAAAAGCAAACTACTTTGTGACACTTGACCAAAAGTTTTGGTTCAGGTTCCTTCATCAGAGCTTCAGATCACATGTGTTTTAAGAGAAGTCAGTGGGAGCCATGCATGCAAATCTGGGAGCAGAATTTTGTCCTCTATATTTGCTGTCCCTATTACTGTTTCACAGCAAAATTCACTCTGAACTGCAGTGGTGTAACCAGCCTGGAATTTGTCCCTTATTATAGTATACATTACTAAATATTAACTAAACATGCCATTGACATGTCAGGGGTTCACTGTTTTCAGCATAAGATTTTTCCACTGCTATGCTTTTAATTTATGATACAGGGCTGTTGGTACAATTCCTTATTAAGGAGCAAAAGGTCTGGAAGGGGACACTCCTATGGAAACAGGGTTCCAATAACATCGTCAGCAAACCAACGGTACCTTCTGAGGTCCTGTTGCACAAGCATGCGGTAGGCGGTGGGGGCGCTGCAGAGAGTGGTTATGGGATATGTGCACAGGGTCTAACAGATTGAAAGAAAAATCAAATGTTGGTCAAATAAATTAAGACTAGATTCCTTCCAGTACTGGAACAGCTCTACGTTTTCATTTCAGCAATGCAGTAATGCCCAGATACTGGCCCGTTTCTACCCGTGGTTACATTAGTATACAAGTGGAGCAACTGCTAAGTTGTAGTAATGTCAGATTACAAAGTGGTGTAACTGAGGTCAGGATCTGGCCCACTGAATTACTGGGCGGATCAACCCTCCTGAATGACACTGTCATGACATTCACTGAACACTGAAGTCAGGCAGCATCTCACCGTAGGTTGGGCATCTGAAAATGGAAGCACCCAAAATTAGAGCCTGCTTTTGATGAGATAGGCCACAATAACTTTGTATTGATTAAATGTCTATCTTTATTGTTTCCAAGTGACTAACATTATAGTGAAGATAGTATTTTATTGCTCCTATATGCATTATTAGACACTTTGTGAATGCCTTAGTGGCAGTACCTGGAATTGTCTCACCTATATGGATTGTGGCCTTGATGCGCCATAAGGGGTGCTGAGTGTTAGCCATATAGAAGCCTGTGCTGATGAGCCAGACAAGGAGTGTGCTGACCCCAATTCTCTATTAACTAGATTGCAGCTGCCAATTTATTTCTGCCTGATAGCTGGAGTAAAGCGAACAAAGGCAATACGTAGCTCACTTTCTTATTAGCAAAATAAGGATCTTAGCTTAGCCCATATGTTCTCATTTTTTCCTTTTCTCTGGCTATCCTCCATCCATCTTTTACACAGCATGCTAGCAAATTAGGAAGTGAGAGATTTACTGTGGTTTAGGGTGACAAACTATGCCTAGCTCTCTCAACCTTCCTTGTGTCTATAGCTAATACCTGCGCAGAGGTTCAAAACCCTCATGCTCCTCACTGTATACTATGACGATACTTGCAAGGTCAAGCACATAGTGTAAAAATGCTAACAACTAATATACTAAAAGGAGCACAAGGTCTAAAAAAACTGTACATCAGCAGAAACTTATTTTCCTCCCCCCATTGCTACAAGCTGTTCATGAAGGACTATTTTTTATCTTACCTTTTGCAAGAAGATTTACCTGGCTGTGAGATGAGGCTTGAATATCATCCCCTGTGGGAGAAAGCTGATCTCTCTGCCTCAATGTATTTCAACACTGAGGCACATTTTGTAAGGGTCACAGCATCTTAATTAAAATATTTCTTTACATTTAAACCAGCTAATTAATCATTTCAACAGAGGAGTTCAGGAAGAGGGAGACTATAGGGAAGGTATTAAATCCCAGGTGATTGGAAGCAGCTGGTTGAATTCAATGCCTCAAAAAGTCATGCAAAGAACAAGTCCCTTGTGGTCAAGTCATTCTAAAGCAGCTAATTCCATAAAACTAAGGCTCAGTGTATGTTCCTAATACAGGGTTTGCGGTTGGCTTGGCAAATAGTATGAAATACAAGTAAATCTACATCTCAAGCTTTGTTTTCTTACATTCAAGAATACTTTTGGCTCAAACTGTGGCATGGCATGTACAAAGACACAAGTACCCCGAAGCCATGGGGCAAAAACACTTCCCAGAGCTGCCTTCACCCAGCCGGTATCTGACATATTCCATATAATGTCTGAAGGAGACAAATCCATCCAGTACCTGTAGAAAGCAGAAGAGACGAGTATGAGTGACCATGCACACGGGAGTAAGAAATATCAGCTTTAGCTTACTATGGGTCTAGTAAACATGGCATGATAATTTAACAGTTCCAACAAAAATTCTCTGCTCACCTTGTACCTGACAGCAATGATGGTTCAAAGCTAAAACTATTTGACTCATTCATCAAAATCATTTCTCCTGTTTTAATAGGCATGTACAATTTTGCAGGTGCTACAATGCATCATCAAGAACGACATAAAATTAGGTCTTTGTTTCATGGGTATAACTCAGTTACAGATTCCATAGAAATTACATGTCCAATGCAGTAGAAACTAGTGGTTGTAACGTCCTGCAAAATTCTTTCATGTTTCAGAGCTTCAGAAGCACTGTCGGGACGAGTGCCATACCTTCCACAGAGAGCAAACCCCAGACCCAAACTGCTGTGTGAATGTTCTGCCATTTTTGGAGAACCTGTAGTGCCACTGGTGAAGAAGACTGTCATTGGATCTTGGCTTTTTGTCTTGATACAGTCATGAACAGCAGGTGCAGCTCTTAAAAAAAACAACGTAGAAATGAACAGCATTATTCAACAGTCTTGATTCTGATTCCTTACACTCTCAGAATCATATGTACAGCTCAGGTTGCACCAAACGAGATCTACTGTCCTAACATCACAAGTATTATTCCAGCACCAAAGAGGATTCAACCGATCAACTGAAGGAATGCTTCAGTTTTTGCAAGGTGCCCTGCAAATTCTAATGTTCCTTCCTCCTTGATCTTTCCATTCCCTGACATTTAGATGAGCAATTATTTGAAGGACTTACAGTAGCTCAGGGAACTACAAGTATAACTTGGCCATACATAACATCAGTTCAGATTTCAATGTTTTTAGGGATAGGTAAAATTTTCAAAAGCACCTAAGTGATTTAGGAGCTTAAACCCTTCTTTCAAAAAGTGTGTTAAATTTGTAGATCATTTATTAAGACGGAGAGGTGTGTCTACCTGATATATCTTAGTAAAAAATCTTTGTTTTCAGATTTGATTATAATAATATGAGTTAGGCAGGAGGTTCTTACTTGAATAGTTCACTGAAGTTCAGCCACCCATCTCTGCTGTTTTTAGATATGATTAGCTTGGTTTTCAAGAACTGACACTCAGACACAATTGCATCTACTATAGGTGCCAACACATCATTGGTAATGATGCATTTAGCCTTAGAAGCCTGGAGTCTGTA